AGAGAGAGAGAGAGAGAGAGAGAGAGAGAGAGAGAGAGAGAGAGAGAGAGAGAGAGAGAGATGGATGGAGTGGAATGTAGAAAGAGTCGGAGAATCGAGGAACAGTCATCTAGACGGATCCATGTTTTGAAGGCAGGGTTCTCAATCGAAGGTAAGATGACTTTCACCTCCGGTCGCGCTTCTCCGGTCTCGAGCGCTCCTCCGATTCCTTTATCAACGAGATGCAGATCAACCATCTCTTCAAAACTGAAGGCCGAAGCCATGGAGGTCTACAAGAATCTCCTCGAACCGATCACAAGTGCGATGGCTGGTGTATACTGAATGGTAACACCGAGGGGAATGAGCGAGCAGGATATCGCTACCGTGGCAGAGATTGAAAGCGTGATCCCTGGGAGATAAAAAAACGGGCGTGCTGCCAGCTCGGCGGCAAACGTTGCAGCAGCAGACAAAGGCGAAGTAGCTACTGTAGACATAGCGCAGTTGAGATTCACTTCGCAACTTCGCGGAGACAAGTTCGCTTTCCGCAAGCGGGTCGTCAATTCGACAATTCCACTCGCGTAGGTGCACTTGCTCCGTTTGTTTTGGGAGGATAAGTGAATCGCTAATCCTGACTAAATAGTCCTAGTCTATGCTTCCCCGTGCATGTTCGCCAGAGTGGAACAGAAGAGTCCCCTGGTACCGTTTCCCTATTTTCGGGAATCCCCTTTTTTTCCATACACTCCCTGTACCCTCAAGTTCTAATCGTCATTCGGCAGAACCCCGTCCCGCCACTTTTTTCTAGTACCGGTTTATTTTTCATATTCCTGGCGGGGCTGCTTTTCGCCCATGTGTTGGGTTAGATGCATGCCTATGCTACGCATGAAAACACATGTTTATACCTGGTTTTGTTTAATCCATAGTCAGAGGCCCTTTCGGGTCGCCAAGTGACACATTTATATACATTTATAAATACATATGCAGATATACTGCCCTCGTATTCCATGCAGTCGCCGTACTCATCCACTGACCCCCCATGATATCATTTCTCTATTCATGTGCTCATTGACCCCTCTGGGCCCCTCATCCATCCCTATTACTTTTAATGCATTATATTCATCTGCCCAAAGAGAGTACTACCTACTTCCCCCCTTTTTTTTGAAACACCCAGCAAACTTAATCAAACTCATTCTGCCAATGATTTTAGCAACCTCAACTCCTATGTATGTGTGTGTGTTTGTGTGTGTGTGTGTGTGTGGGGAGAGAGAGAGAGAGAGAGAGAGAGAGAGAGAGAGAGAGAGAGAGAGAGAGAGAGAGAGAGAGAGAGAGAGA